TGCGATTGAAAATCGGATAATATGTATTCTATATCGTTTTTCATTTCGAATAAACTTAAAATATTAATATCTAACGAAAGATTGATTAGAAAAAGATTGGAAAAAAATTTAGCAATTTTCCAAACACTTGATCTTACCAAGATCTTGTCCGTGAGATTTTCCATTGGCTCTTACATGCAACAACGAGAAACCGTCCCAAAGTTTGACCGTGTTCGGTGGACATAACGGTATCATCTCGGATTGCGAGTGTCGAGCAAAGTAGAAGCCTCTGTTTCGAGGTCCTGGTGCCGGTGGTGCTGGATTTCCTGGTACTCCAGGAGATCCTGTGAAACAATCAACATTTAATCAATCAATTTTTATGGTTTCAACGCGTAATAGCTATACAATAAGTACGATAGTTCAATAATTTGTATTTTTTTCTTGCCTGGAGGTCCTTGTCGTCCAATCACACCAGGCGGGCCAGGATAACCAGCAGGGCCTTCCACACCTTCTGGTCCTGGAAGACCCGGTGGACCTATTATTCCAGGTTCTCCTTCCCTTCCAGGTAATCCATCTTCTCCTGGTTCGCCTAACATTCCAGGAAGCCCCGGAAAACCTATCCGTAGATATTTTTGGTCATTTAATCAATCACAATCGTAATTATATTATTTTTAAATTCTGTCTTATCATTGTACCTGGTAATCCTGATGGTCCTGTATCTCCAGGTAAACCTTTTCTTGGGAATGGTGAGAAGGGATTTATACCACGATCACCTTTCGGTCCCTGTAAAGTATTTCGTAATAAATTTTCTTTTTTTTCTTTTTTCTTTTTTCTTTTCTAAATTTGTATCAATCATAATTAACAACTCTGCGTAACTTTCTTTCAAAATAAGAAAAAAAAAAAACGATAATAATATAATCGACGCAACCAACATTAGGTCCTGGAGGTCCGGGAAGTCCAATTAGACCAGGTTCTCCTACGTCACCGGATTCTCCTTTCAGTCCAGGCAATCCTACGAATCCAGAAAGGCCCGAATCACCTCTTATTCCTTTTGCTCCCGGCCTACCATCGAATCCATCCAATCCTCGCTCTCCTGGTTCTCCTTTTATGGATATACCAAGTAATCCAGGCTCCCCTGGATAACCTTTTGGTCCTGGTAATCCAGGCAAACTTGGCAATCCTTGCAAACCTGGAGCTCCTGGATAACCATCGAAACCGCGTGGACCTAGAGCGTCAAGATGAAAATCCATCCCAATTACAAAATGTCGTTTCTTTTTATTCAGGAAAATATAGAGATATAGAGATGTCGATCGAGTATAATATATAATATTAACCTATGTCTCCTGGAAGTCCTTTCGGGCCACGAATACTGAAACCAACGTCTCCCGTAATCCCTATAGGGCCATTAGGTCCATATTCTCCGGGAGCACCTTTTTGACCTGGCATTCCTGGAGTACCAGGTATTCCATCCATTCCAGGACGTCCATCTTCACCTGCTTCAGCGAATTGGCCAGGTATTCCTAAATTAAGAAGAAAACCATTCATATTCATATTATTCAGATATTCACTCTTGATTAGAATGTTTTATTCAAATTTGTATGGAAATTTGTATTCACCTGGAAAACCTGGAGGTCCTTCATCACCAGGAAGACCTGGGAAACCTGGTACACCCGGAAATCCATCAGGTCCACGGTATCCAACGCTACCTTTCATACCCTGAATTGTTTACACGTATATTTCGTGTTATTTATTTATTTTTTATTCACCGCTACTTAGTATATTAGTTTTTTCTTTTTTTTTTTTTTTTTAATTGAATTTTTATTGAAATTAATAATAAGCCGCGAGTGTTTAAAATAATACGACAAATCAATCAATATTGTACGATTAATATTTATTCGCGTACTTTTCTTCCAGGTAATCCAACGAAACCTTGTTCACCCCGTTCTCCTTTTTCGCCTGGTAAACCATCGAGTCCAGGCATTCCAAAATCACCCGCTTCTGCCTCACCGTACGATGGCAAACCAGGCTCTCCGACATATCCTTTAGGTCCTGGTGCACCCATTAAACCGGGCGATCCTCTATAACCTTGATCACCAGGCATTCCTGAATAAAATTTATACAATTCGTTTCCTCTACTTCCATTTTTTCCAGATACGTGTTACATTTAGCTTATATGACAGATACACAAGCAAGGCGATACACATAATTCAAAACAACAATCTCTTCGAAGCAAGACTCACCCGGTAGACCCATTCGAGCTGGATCACCATCCAATCCCCTTTTACCTTTAGGTCCCTCGATACCGGGCGGCCCTATCGGACCTCGTTCACCCTTTACACCGTGTAAACCGGGAGCACCAGGTATTCCAGGCCTTCCTTTAACCCCCAATCTCCTCTTGCTCCCTTGAGGCCATCTAGGCCCATATCACCTATCTCTCCCTACATGAAACACAATCGAAATGATGAAACATAATATGCACGATTAACCGAAGAAGAATTATTATCCATTTACTTTTGGTCCCGGCAATCCATTGAACCCGTTAATACCAGCTTCACCCTTTTCTCCTCGTAAACCGTTGAAACCATCGGTAGCCAAACCTGGTTCACCAGGTAGACCAGGCCGTCCATCTATACCGGGCAATCCCGGAGCTCCAACTTCTCCCATAAAACCAGGCTCCCCTATGTCGCCTTGCGGACCGCTAAACGCATTTTCACCCGGAAGTCCGTCCAAACCGACCGGTCCAGGATCTCCAGAGATACCTTTCGGTCCGGGTAATCCCACGATCCCTGGAACACCAACCGGCCCAGGATCTCCTTGTTCCCCTTTAGCTCCTGCTGGCCCGGATAACCCTTCCAGACCAGGCCAACCACGAGAGCCAGGTTCACCGATTTCACCGACGTCTCCGTCCGGTCCAGGTGGTCCCGGCAGACCCAGTATACCGTCTCTTCCTAAATAACCCGGTGGTCCAATGTCACCGTCGTCACCTCTGCGCCCCATAAAACCGATTTCTCCTTTCAGACCTTTCATTCCGTCAAATCCAGGTGCCCCGTCAGGTCCTGCAAGTATATACATTTAAAAAACAATCAGGATTTTCAACTATTTGCAACCATTACGTCGATTAATTTGTAAAATGCACGAGAAACATCATCGATTCTCCGAACAGCAATTTTGACACGATTTTAGAGAAACCGCCATTTCTCGAAAGATTCGAGAAACCCGAGAAACAACGAATATATACAATTCTCAATATTAATGATTGTTTCAATTAAAAACATATAAACAATGTATTTTTACAACGCTTTAACAACATATTTATAATCTGTGTTTATTCGTCTCACTATAATATTTGCGAATTTTTATTTCGATTTCTATCTACGAAAAACAATATCGAATACGTGGAAACAATGAAATTGACGCGTAAAAATATAAAATATTTAAACCGATGGATGGAACATATACATTACATCGTACTTAGTTGTCAAGATGAAATGATAATCGTACCTGGAATACCGACTTCTCCCATTCTTCCAGGCATCCCAGGTTGACCATGTATTCCAGGCATACCTTTAGGTCCTTGAACTCTGTCTCCTCTTTGACCCTTAACTCCCTGTCGATCGATTTCCCCCCCCACCCCGATTTACAGATTTCGAGGATCTTACACTTTGGTCCTTCTCTCGTTAAGAATATCGCATAATATTACCTGAAGTCCAGGTATACCCGCCGAGCCAGGAGCACCTTTGCTTCCTTTCGCGCCTTTCGTCCCATCTGGTCCAGGCCTACCACGGTAACCCACAGGTCCGGCATCACCCACGTTTCCTTTCTCTCCGGTCCAACCCATTAATCCGTAATCGCCGTACGTCTGATTCGAGCCGGGATCCCCTCGATCACCTTTGTTACCTACGCGTCCCTAAACCGATCAATCCAATTTTCAATCTTTTTATTCCGCGTTTCAACAATTACAATGAAGAGAAATGGCGGGGAGGAGAAGGAAGGAAACACTTACCGGGAAACCGACAGGTCCTTGCGATCCTGGTGTGCCGGGGGCACCGCGAGGACCTTGATCTCCCGGCATACCGGGATATCCTTTCAGACCTACGGGCCCTTGACGCGATATACCGACAGATCCAGGAATTCCCGGTGGTCCTACAAATCCTTCGTCACCTGGCCATCCTTCCGGGCCTTTGCCACCGTCCTCTCCTGCGAAATGTTTAATTTTTGCGTAGAAAAGAAAAAAAAACTTGCATAATTCTACTACTTCTCCAACAATCGTCGTCTCTCCCTCAGGCTTTTTTTTTTTTTTTACCTGGATCACCGCGTTCCCCTTTGTACCCCTTCTCTCCTTTCAGTTGTATATTGTATTGCGAGGATATCCCGCGCTCTCCCTTCGCTCCTTTGTCACCCGGCGGACCTCTGAGTCCCGGGATGCCCGGGGAACCTGGTTCACCTTTCAAAAATTCGATCGGCGTCGATGCATCGTCACCTTTTTCACCCGGAATACCATTTATTCCGGGATAACCGTCGCCCCCTGGCCGCCCAGGAGGACCGAGCTCGCCCTGACAACGAACGAAAATTATCCTGGTCAACGTTATTCCAGTCGAATAAGTGTAAAATACATTTACACGCGTATTCGTCGTCGGGACGATATAGAAGAAGCAAAGCGAGATCCTTCTCACCTTCTCCCCTTTGGGCCCTTCGGGTCCCGTATCACCGCGAAATCCAGGTTCTCCTCGCGACCCTGTCGGCCCTTCGACGCCAGGATAACCTTTGTCGCCGACATCTCCAGGCGTTCCAATTATTTTTTTGTCTGGCACTATCAATCGTCCCCTTTCTCCCTTGGCTCCTTGAGGGCCCGCGACTCCTGGCCTCCCGCTATCGCCTTCCAATCCTCTCGGCCCAACGATACCTCGTTTACCCTGTACCCCCTTGAATCCACGTGGCCCGGGCAATCCTGGATACCCTGGCGTGCCGGGATATCCATCCAATCCAGAATCGCCTTGTTCACCCTTCGGTCCAGGTTTCACTGTTTGTTGTTTCGAAATAATTTTTTTCCGTTTATAATACTCATCTCTCACGATATCATCATTTTGCTTTATTTTTATCAAAAGTTTCGAATTGATAATTGGACAGGCACGTTCGCGATATTTGAGCGAATTTTGTCCGTAGATATTTGTTACGATTATATTTTGATACTTTGTTATTTTGATTTTCTAATACGTAAATGCGTTGATCCTTTGTTTGCAAATGCAAATTAGTTTTGAAATTGGGACACGAGGTGTGCAGTAGTACCACGGCTGTGGTAATTATCATGCTGTCAAGCATCACATGTAGCAAAGTTGATACCTTATTTTCCGTTAATATCGTGCCATATATATATTGCGGTAACTTATCTGATAATTAAATCGAAATAGTTAAATTTGCGTTTAAAAAAACAAACAAACGCTATTCTGCAAATCTGAAAATGACCGATCGAATTTACTTAAGTTTCCAAATATTTTTCTAAAAATAAGAAAGAAGAAATTCTAATTCTTTATCTATTCTTTTAGATATAATTCTTATAAAGATAATTCTTAATCTTTAATTTTTGTCATTTAAATTTATTAGATATATTATTTAAAAGATAGATAGATAGATAGAGATTCTTCTTTCATCATCAGATTCTTTCACGATTCGACGAATCTTTATTAATAAAATACCGTCTAATTTTCAAACGTAACATTTCAACGTCTCTTTTATTAAGATTTTAGATTTTCAGATTTCATTTTCGACGAATCTCTTATCTAATTATTGTATATAGAGAATCAATTCTTTCTCGAAGCTACGCTAACAAGAATCAAATCAATTGTTGCTAAACGTAATAATTTGTTAAATTTCGCTTTTACGTTGTTAAATAGAACAACTGTAACGCGTTAGTTTCACGCGGATAAAGATAAGTAAGATACGTAAGATTAACGTTTAATAAATACGATTCGCATTATCAGAAATGATAACGTTGTAACCTCATTGCGAATCAGAAAGATACACCAGTAACTATCCACCACTGTTCTTACCTCAAAAGATGTCGTCGTCATTAGTCACGCTTGTAAACCGATATTGTCTCGACAGCGGCAAATGGAGCGAAGCCGTTTTATAACGTTCGCTATTAAAGCACAGATATTTTCAATATATGACGTTGAAATAGAATATCGCGGTCAACGTCCAATATCGCTTATCGTTCCACGTGCGTTAAAATTCTATTCGCGCGTAAAAAAAAAGAAAAAAATTTTATTCGTCTGTGATGCATGGATGATGACAACATACCTGGCGGGCAATCGCAATCGTCTCCTTTAAGGCCTTTCACACCTTTGGGACCTGGTAAACCTGGCCACCCATCGGGTCCGGGAAGTCCCGGTATGCCTGGTAAACCGCGTTCACCCGGAGGACCCGGGTTCCTCGATCCTTTACCAGGAAAACCTTTCGGACCTTTTGAACCGATGCGTTATTATTAATTCGTTATCGTGCCGTGAAACTTATTATCGCACGATAATTTTCCTTTCAATACCTTGGACACCGGGATCACCGCGATCTCCAGGCAAACCAGGCACACCTGGATACCCAGGTTTTCCATCGGGACCTGGTGGTCCAATTATCGTTAATCCAGGGTATCCTTTAGGTCCAACGATTCCAGGTATACCCGGCGCACCCGGAGGTCCTTGCAGACCCATCTCTCCGGTAAAACCTTCGATAAAAGAGAAGAAGGAAAAGAAGGAGAACGTATTAAAATAGTTCGTTCGATGAATTCTTCGAATTTTTCATCCATCTTCGATACGAACCATCGTCTCCTGGCTCTCCTTTGACGGAAGATCCTTTCAATCCTGGTAAACCAGAGGAGCCGGGAGGTCCTGGAGGACCAGGTGGCCCGATATAACCTACTTTGCCGGGTAAACCTGGTGTTCCTGGTTCCCCTGGATTACCGGGTGGACCTAAGCGGTGAAAAAATGTTGATCAACATCGATTTTACACCGTGTGTTTTCTCGTGTTTAAAAAAAAAAAAAAATTGTTAAAATCGCAGACCTAAATCTCCTTGAATCCCGATATTTCCTTGAATTATCTCGTCCAATTCCGGTATGTACTTTCCAGGTTCTCCGGGAGCTCCTTGTTTACCAGGTGGTCCTTGATTCCCCGCATCTCCCAATTCTCCCTAAATTGAAATACACACACACACACACACATATATATAAATATATAAACCGCGTAAAAAAAAAGTTGTTCGATCTCTCGCGATTCGTTAGGAAAGATTTACGTCTAATCCGTCCGGTCCCGGTTTTCCAGCGTATCCTGGCGCTCCCTTCTCTCCCTTTTCTCCCGCGGGTCCTGGCGGGCCCTCCGCCCCTTGTTTACCCCTTGGCCCGTCGTCACCTTGCTCCCCCTTCGTACCTTTGATACCGAAAAATCCTGGCCGACCCTGCGTGAAAAAATTTCGCCAATACAACAACAACAACAACAACGGGGATACGGGTCCAATTAATGGAATGACTACTACACAATTTGAAAACAATGTTTTCGAGATTTTTGCGCTCCCTCGCGAATACAAGGAGGCAGGATACAAATGAGAACGATCGCCTTTTCAAACTCGTGGTACTCACGATAGGTCCTTTGGCGCCCATTTCTCCCTTTCTTCCTCGATCCCCAACATCTCCTCGTACTCCTTTCGAACCGGTAGCGCCCTTCACCGGCGTCACTTTCGTTTTTCCTTGAATTCCCCGTTGCTCGGAGGTCCAGGTTCTCCTCTGTCTCCTTGCTCACCCTCCGCGCCCTTTATACCGTACACCGTGTCCCCGACGTCACCTTGCATGCCTGGCAAACCGGGAGGGCCACGGAAACCCTGTGAAAAATCTCCCCTCCTTCATCTCGTCCAATCTTTTCGTTTCGTGTCTATAATAATGGTGTGATGGTCGGAAGGTCGTCGAATGCAACGAATGCAACGCTCTCTCTTACACAGAGGTTTCAAGTTGCTCGAAAGTAGGCGATCGCTCACGTTCGAATCTTTTCCCGAGGGAAGACTCGGCTCGGCTCGCGTGTTATCGGTGGCTGTCGTGTCAGCAGATAACGGGCTAGCTCGGTTAGAAGCGCGACGTTTCAGATTTCAGCGGATCCTAGCTCGTTTCGTGTTCACAGATTAACACGATTGCTCTGCCGACTGAGATCGTCTCCGCTTAGCTTTACCGAGACGCCCATTTCTCTTCTTTTCCTTTTTTCTTTATCGCGCATCTTCCTTCGATCGTGTCTTTCTTTCCATCGATAAAATCGTTCCGTAAAATCGATCACGCGTGAAATTCGTTTATCGAATTATTTTCAAAAATTATACATCGGGAAAACAAATTGATTAATTTGTCGCGTTAAAACGAAGGAAAAACAAAGGGATTGATTCATAATTCATTGGAATGCGGAGGAAAATCGTCGATGGAACATATAGAATATAAACGCGGGAACAAAAGATGGTGTTACGGGGTGATTTTTACGAAGCGACGCGTAAGAAGATTCCACACGGTGAGCAGCTTATCAACGCGCGATATCACGGGAATTCCTTTAAATTCCTCCCCTCCCCTTACTCGCCTCCACATTTCTCGTTTCCGGCGTGTCCGTTAAATATTGCCAGGGAACGCTTGCTTAACCAACCGGGCGATATTTCATACGAGCAGGTGGTGTTTCGCAAAAAGGAACGAGACATCCAGAGAACTCCCCCCCCCTCCCTCTCTCTCTCTTTTTTCGTTCGTTCTTTCTTTCTTTCATTCTCCGTTGCTCGGCCGGCCAACCGAGTTGCTCTCGGCCAACGATCTAAACGCTCGTAAGAGGTTCACGAACCTTCTGGTTGGCCCCCAGATCGGTCGGTTACGGTACCTCGAGCGAAATACTTACCAACGAATAAGTCGCGATCCTCTACTACTACTCACCATGTCGCCCGTCTCTCCTGGATACCCTATTTCACCGGGGATCCCGTACGATCCTGGATAACCCTGGACAAAAAAAAAGTCTCCCATTTAATCCGAGTTTCCGATGGAACGTCCTGCCTCGACGAAGATCGTTAACATTCTTGCCTCGATTTTTTGCCATCTCGTGAGATCAGTTTGGCAACCGAGGCCGAGGTGTTTTTCTATCATCGGACGCGATAGGATAGGAACGAACGAACGAACAAATTTATCTCGATGGAATTTCGTCCGGGAGGAAAGAAAAATTGAAATGGAATGGAAATGTTAATTATCTTTATTGTACGATATTTAAAAGTTAGTTTCAATTCTATAAATTATTTAATCGATAACGTTCAAATTTCTGATCGTATTAACGTAATTCCTCCCATTTCGAAACTTAAACACGGAAATAGAATGGATAAATTTCTTGTTTAAATCACGCTGTGTCACAGAGATTATTGAATTTTTTTTCTCTTTTTTTTTATACTTTTATCTCGAAATAAATCGAAATAAACAGATTTTTCAATTCCGCGATCGCTCCCTCTCCGTCACGTCTCTAAAGCCTCTATCGTCGCCACCCGTTTCGCCCTG